TTGGTGGGGTAGCACCCCCCTGCACCCCCCCCACACACAAAATCTGTCTATGTTTATACTAGCTTAGCAATGAAGCATGGCATGCAACCTAATATCCTGGGTACAAGGTTGCCAGTGTGGAAAGTTTGTACTGCGTGCCCAACATCTCGGGCGCGCAATTTTGATGCTTTCTATATATTTACTATTAAATTTTCGAACTCTCGACCGCGCAATTTCCAAGCTAAATTCCAGTCAGGCGAGGTTGCATGACATGATGGCAATATTTATGAATGTCAACCTATAAACTTCAAACAGTCCCCCAATATTTTGGATATCTCAAGCATATATGTATAACTTCACTTAGGTTGTACTGAATGCTGTTATGTAAAGTTCAGAAGTTGTAAAACTTGTATTGTTGTACAGTATATTAAAACTTTGCACTATTAAAATAGTAATTTAGTCTAAATTACTATTTAATTATACTACTACAATACAAGTGCTTAAATACAGAAGTCTACAATAAATAAAGAGCAAAATAAAAATGCTTCCAATGTACTTTTCTGTATTCCTTGAAAGTTTTCTATTTCTTGTTTCATTTGATTTTGAACTCCCTCAACTGTGCCGGCCATCTTGAATTTGACGCGAGAAAGGAACGCGAACTGCGCATGCTTAGCCACTGGGCTTCATATACTTCTCTGGAGTAAGATGTTACTCCAGACATATAAGAGCTCAGTGAACCACACTAAAAATACCAAATAACTATTCCAAGTATTCCAAGCAATGAATTTATGTCGTAATAGATTAGAAAGGTGATCAGTCGCTCCCTTAGTAAAGGCCAACTTCTGGCTTCATTTCTCACATATAGATTTTCATATACAAAACCTCAATTTTTTCCAACACTTGCAGGCTGGAAAATTTGGGCTTGCCATCCTGTTCGCAGGCTATTTAAACTCTGAATTAATATTACACAATAATGGCACTCCACTCATTCAGAAAGTGTCCATATCTATTCCTCCCATGCAAAGTGCTTTTCAGGCAGTTCGCTACAAAGAATGGTAGCGCTTCGTCGAAGGGCCATGTGCCCTTGCTCCTTGCGGCAATGCCTGTGATTTCTTTCGGCCTCGGAACATGGCAAGTATATCGACTACAGTGGAAGAAATCGCTGATTCAGCAACTCGAGGACAAAACAATGAAAGAACCATTGGAAATCACAGATAGGTTGGTATATACACTCAACAGCCATATTATGTTGGATGACCAATCTCTTTTTTCAACATTGAGTATTTTGCAATGGGAACGCAGAGAACATTGGAACACAGGGGAACAAGGGTTAACATGGTGAAATCTTTGTTGGGAACATTCAACAAGGGAACAAAGGACCACCATTTTGAGATGACTGATTATATAACCAGTGGCGTAGCCAGCCCGATGATTCAGTCCCGCTATGCAAATATTGCCATGTTTATGAACTGTCAACACAATCAATTTGTAAAGAAATGAATAAGTTGATGAGTTGAAATTTTAATAAATATAAATGAATAAAGAATGATGAGTTGAAATTTGCATAGCGGGACAAAACGTCTAGCTGGCTACGCCAGTGATTATAACCAAAACCATCCACCATCACTATCACCATATATCACTACCTATATTGTCATCCCTATAGTCACCAGCATCATGGTCACCACCATAATCACTATTATATGACAATAACCAATACCTGAATACTACCATTATCATTCACATCTTCATCACCACTGATGTCACTATCCCCACTACCATTATAATCACCAGCACCACCATTCCTATTACCACACTATCACCAACACTATCATCATGGCTATCATCATTACCGCCACCATCATCACTAATATAATGACATCATAATCACTAGCATCACAATCACTATCAATAACACTAACATAATCATCCATCATCACCATCATCACAACTATCATCATCACAACTATCATCATCACAACTATCATCATCATCATCACAACTATCATCATCATCATCACAACTATCATCATCATCATCATCATCATCACAACTATCATTATCATCACAACTATCATCATCACAACTATCATCATCATCATCATCACAACTATCATCATCACCATCACTACCAAAAACACTAATATAATCATCCATCATCACCACCACCACCATCATCATCACCACCATCATCACCACCATCATCATCATCATCATCATCACCACCGCCATGACCATCACCACCACAGCCATCATTATCCCTAACAACAACACCAATATAATTATCCATCATCGTTAACACCACCATCACCACCACCATAATCATCACATTACTTCCAGCACCATCACCACCATCATCAACACCATCATCAACACCATCATCAACACCATCATCATCACCACCATAATCACCACCATCATCAACACCATCATCAACACCATCATCACCACCATCATCAACACCATCATTAACACCATCATCACCACCATCATCATCACCACCATAATCACCACCATCATCAACACCATCATGAACCATAATCACCACATTACTTCAACCACCATCACTACCACCCACCACCATCATTACCATCTTATATAACCACTCTTTCCCAACCACTAAGCATTCCATTTCATATTTTAATGTCATATTTATTAAAGCTTAGAGTTCCTCAAAGATGAAGAAATGCAGTACAGACGTGTTAAAATAAAAGGCACATTTGACCATTCCAAAGAGATGCACCTATTCCCTCGGTCACAAAACAATGACGAAAGATCTGCAGGAATGGGACGCCCCAACCCAACTGGTGCTCAAATCATTACTCCATTTTGCTTGTCCTCTGGGTATGGTATATAGCTGTGATGATAAACTAATTCAAGGTGTTAGCAACAGTAAAAATTCGCCGTTTTCGCCGTTTAGTTAGCATTTTCCCGATTTATAGCTGCCCAAATTAACATTAAAAAGAAAAAATATAAGATTTTGAAACTACCAGTGGCGTAGCCAAAACGATAATTGGGGGCATATTCGCCTTATTCGTGTTCACATACCATAAAAACAATTACTGATTTCCAAAGAAATTAATACAAGCAGAACGCGAATATGCCCCAATTATCATTCTGTCCTCACTAGGACCTTATTGCAGAATAATACCTACACTGGACCTCCATTTGAGATAACGTTTCTATGTTTTAGCGAAAAAATTCTCGTGAATAGAGGATGGGTGGAGAAGTCAAAAATGAATCCTGCAACTCGACCAAAAGGCCAGGTAAGGGCTTGGACATATATCCCATGGTTTGGTAAATCTGGCCCATATAATTAATAACCTCGTATCGTATTAAACAGTTCAATTGAAATCATACAATGATCAATACAGTCTTTATTAGCAATTTGGCATTGTTATAATTGTATCTATAGGTTAAATTGGTATTGTTTGATCATAGGTAGCTGGAGAAGTGGAGATTGTTGCTTTCATCCGCCTTGGGCAAAAGGTTGGATTTATTTTAATGATTATATATTGATTATGTAATGTTTTATGAACAACTTCCTTTTCAATAAGTTCTTTGTATACATGTTTGCATGGTGATAAAATATAATAGTTTTGTTTGTGGAAACACCACGTAAATTTATTACTGCAAAGCTTTCGATCCGTAAGCCCGGATTTTCATCAGTGCTAATAATATGTGACTTGTTTTATTCACACCCTCTTTTTATATACAAAAAGTGTCGTGATCTGTTGGATCGCGAACTTCCTTTTCATGTAAAACGCTGGGCAAACTAGACAACATTGATGCAGAAAATTGTTTCCTAGCCATGTTTCCTGAAGGTGGACAAACCAGGAAACATTGTTTCCAAGCCATACTCCGTGAAGATGGGCAAACCAGGAAACATTGTTTCCTAGCGATGTTTCCTGAAGGTGGACAAACCAGGAAAGATCGTCTCCTAGCCATCTTCCCTTGAGGCTTGAAGGTACTGGCGGCAAATCAGGAAATATGTTTCCCGAAAGTATGTCAATGAATTTTCTGGAAACACGTTTGCCTCCTCGAAAACAAAATTTATCCAAGAATGGAAAGACGGAGAAACACTCTCGAGAGAAAATCAGAATTTTGAAATGTTTCCGCATTAATGTTTCCTGGTTTGTCAAAGGCTTAAGAGACAATCGAAGATATGAATGCAAAACTGTTCGTCGTTTATGTGTAGAGACCACAGTTTGTTCCTAAGAATGATATTGAGAAAAACAACTGGCATTATTGCGACTTGGATCAAATGGCGCAGGTCGCTCAAACCTTGCCTATTCTGGTTGATGCGGATGCAGGTTCGTCTCTGTATAGACAATCGAGAGGAATATTGAATGGACCATTCCCCCAATTAACCAAAATTGTGATCTCAACAAGTCTAGACAAATTTCCATCATCATAGCATAAAAGAGCATCACAAAATTAGTAATATTCCCAAGTTTCGTTGCGAAATGTTGTAAAATGCGGATAAAATAGCCTTGCGAAATTTGCAATTTTCAGTCATTTTAGATTACAAACGGGAAATGGTTACCACTTTTCCAAAATTTTGATCTAGACAAGTCTAGACAAAAATTTCATCACAACTTGAAAGAGCATCACAAAATTAGTAATATTCCAAAGTTTCGTTGCAAAATGTTGTAAAATGCGGATTATATAGCCTTGCGAAGTTTGTAATTTTCAGTCATTTTGTATTACGCACAGAAGTGGTAACCATTTCCCGTTTGTAATCTAAAATGAATGAAAATTGCAAATTTTGCAAGGCTATATGATCCGCATTTTACAACATTTTGCAGCGAAACTTTGGAATATTACTAATTTTGTGATGCTCTTTCAAGCTGTGATGAAATTTCTTTCTAGATTTGTTGAGTTCAAAATTTTGGTTAAATTGGGGGAATGGTCCATTGATCTTGTATTATATCCAGTCAAAACGTAAGCCCCGGTCAAACGAGATTGAGAGTTGGTAGTCACGCATTGTTACGGGGAACATTTCAAGCTCTAGATTAACAAAAGAACGATTTGAAAAGTGTTCCAACTACACACGTAAAAACGCACAAGTTGTTACAGGTCTGCAAACAAGTTGTTACAAATCTGTTCAAAAGCTGTCGACAAGTTGTCTTCGCACTGCTTGTTCCCAGTTGTTGTAACAAGTTTGGAACAAGCTGTTAACAACTTGTAACAAGCTTGATGGCATTATCAGACTTGTTACAAGATTTTTCTAACAAGTCCGATACAGTCATGATATAACAAGAATGTTA